ACATCTATCTACTGGTCATGTCCTAACATCTATCTACTGGTCATGTCCTAACATCTATCTACTTGTCATGTCCTAACATCCATCTACTGGTCATGTCCTAACATCTATCTACTGGTCATGTCCTAACATCTATCTACTGGTTTCATATCTTAACATCTATCTACTGGTTTCATATCTTAACATCTATCTACTGGTCATGTCCTAACATCTATCTACTGGTTTCATATCTTAACATCCATCTACTGGTTTCATATCTTAACATCTATCTACTGGTCTGATGTCCTAACATCTATCTACTGGTCTGATGTCCGAACATCTATTTACTGGTCATGTCCTAACATCTATCTACTGGTCTCATGTCCTAACATCTATCTACTGGTCTCATGTCCTAACATCTATCTACTGGTCTCATGTCCTAACATCTATCTACTGGTCTCATGTCCTAACATCCATCTACTGGTCTCATGTCCTAACATCTATCTACTGGTCATGTCCTAACATCTATCTACTGGTCATGTCTTAACATCTATCTACTGGTCATGTCTTAACATCTAGCTACTGGTGTCATGTCCTAACATCTATCTACTGGTCTGATGTCCTAACATCTATCTACTGGTCTGGCGCCCCATGTTGGTCTACGTACGGTCCTCAAAGATGAGGCCCACGGTGGCGACGGACTCCCGGCTGACGAGCATGATGGGATTGTCTCTGGAGGTCTTGGGGAAGTTCTGGGCCTGGCGGTTCGGGTCCAGGACCAGGCGGCGGCCCTCGTACAGCAGCTCCTGGTTGTGCAGCGGGATGCTGGTCCGGCGGGACAGAAGTTCCTGGAACAGCGCCGCCCTGTGGACACATGAGGAACTTAAACCATGCCTTTGGCTCAGTGCATGCCGGGATACGGTCTCCAGCTCTCTTATTGTCTTCTGATGAGAATAAAGATTGAAAATATAGAAATATGGGACGCATGGAGTTCTTAAATTAGTAAACAGATCAGCTTTTCTGTGTGTTTTACCAATAAACACCTTGTTTTAACAGATTTGATGAATAAATCTCATCTGTTGAAGCAGTGCAGAGTTTTATAAATTATTTTATATTAAACAGAATATCATTATATATAATATATACACATATATTATATACATTCTTACGTGTTGTACTCGTGGATGTACACGTGGTGCAGCGTCGCCTGCTGCAGACTGAACACATTGACGATGGTTCGGTGAAGAATGTCGTTTGTTTCTGCGAAGAACTGATCGAAGCCCCAACACTTTTCCTGATCCGCCTCCAGGATGTTAGCCAGGACCGGAGTCAGGAGGCTTTGGAGACCCCTGAAACATCAGAGACCAGGTCAGGGTCTAGGTCAGAGACCAGGTCAGAGTCCAGGTCAGAGACCAGGTCATAGACCAGAGTACTTCTACTTCTTTAAATACCTCCTCTTCTCTCTCTGAGGTACTTGTACTTCTTTAAATACCTCCTCTTCTCTCTCCGAGGTACTTGTACTTCTTTAAATACCTCCTCTTTTCTCTCTGAGGTACTTGTACTTCTCTAAATACCGCTTTTTCTCTCTCTGAGGTACTTGTACTTCTTTAAATACCTCCTCTTCTCTCTCCGAGGTACTTGTACTTCTCTAAATACCTCCTCTTCTCTCTCTGAGGTACTTGTACTTCTTTAAATACCAGCTCTTCACTCTCTGAGGTACTTCTACTTCTTTAAATACTTCTTACTTGGACAGACTGCATGAAACAGGCATCTCAGTGGTCCACTCGATCTTCCCGTTCTCACACTTCTGGTGTCCTGAGATCGTTCCGGACGGTTTCTCTGTGATGATTTTATACCTGAGAGACGACAACAAACAAGCTCAGCTTCCTGTTTCTTCTTCTTCTCCTCCTTATAAAGCAGCGGGACTCTTACATGACTTCCTTGTTCCTGCGTGGCCCTTCAAACGGTCTGAAAGGCAGACTGCCGGTGGCGGCGTGGTAGAAGGTGACCCCGATGCTCCACAGGTCCACCGTGGCTCCGTACTTCTTCTGGTGGTCTTTCCTCAGCACGGCTCGCTCATACATGTCGGGGTGCTGCAAACACACGAAGAAGAAGAGTTCAACAGGTGACCAAACCTTCACCTGAACGTCTTCAGGTGGAGAAGATGATACAACCTGAAGGATGAGAGCTGACGCTAATCTCACCAAGTGAGTCCCTCCTCACCAGGTGCAGGTGAGTCCCTCCTCACCAGCTTACTCCTCCCCACCAGGTGACTCCTCCTCACCAGGCGAGTCCTCCCCACCAGGTGACCCCTTACTCACCAGGTGACTCCTCCCCACCAGGTGAGTCTTTCCCCACCAGGTGACCCCTTACTCACCAGCTGACTCCTCCCCCACCAGCTGACTCCTCCCCCACCAGGTGAGTCTCTCCCCACCAGCTGAGTCTCTCCCCACCAGCTGACTCCTCCCCACCAGGTGAGTCTCTCCCCACCAGGTGACTCCTCCCCACCAGGTGACTCCTCACCAGGCGAGTCTCTCCCCACCAGCTGACTCCTCCCCACCAGGTGAGTCTCTCCCCACCAGCTGAGTCTCTCCCCACCAGGTGAGTCCTCCTCACCAGCTGACTCCTCCCCACCAGCTCACTCCTCCCCACCAGGTGAGTCTCTCCCCACCAGGTGAGTCTCTCCCCACCAGGTGACTCTCTCCCCACCAGGTGAGTCTTTCCCCACCAGGTGAGTCTTTCCCCACCAGGTGACCCCTTACTCACCAGCTGACTCCTCCCCCACCAGCTGACTCCTGCCCCACCAGGTGAGTCTCTCCCCACCAGGTGAGTCTCTCCCCACCAGCTGACTCCTCCCCACCAGCTGAGTCTCTCCCCACCAGCTGAGTCTCACTCACCAGGTATTCCTCGGTGCCGTACAGAGACACAAACTGCTCGTCGTCCTCCAGCTCTCTGGCGGCTCCGAAGTCGGTGAGCTTGTAGACGGACCGTCCGTCCTCTCCGATCACTCGCATGATGTTTCCTGGTTTGATGTCTCGGTGGACGATCCCGTACTCTCTCAGGTGGTTCATACCTGCCACTGAAGACACACAACGGCCAATCAGAGAACACCTGGGAGACACACCTCCAACAGTACACAGGTATGGTAATAATTAAGAATCCCACCGACCCACGTTGTGGAGGACTAGGAGGAACTCGTCCTCAGGGAGTCCGTACGCGTTGGAGGATTCCTCTAAGACGGTGTAGAGACTTCCACAGGGACAATACTCCATCACCAGCACCTTGTGACGTGTGTTAGACTGAAGAGGACACACCTTTATACTCTCTGAAGTACACATACATATATATATATATATATATACATACATACATACATACATATACATACATACATACATATATACATACATATATACATACATACATATATACATACATATATACATACATACATATATACATATATATACATACATATATACATACATATATATATATATATATATATATACATACATACATATATATACATACATACATATATACATACATATATACATACATATATA